GTAATCACATCCCTTGCCCTGGTGTTCTGAACTCAAAAGGAACTAAATCATTTCATATTGCCTTTTAATCCCTATTACACATTTTATTCTTTCCTATACATTTCAAATATCATTCTATTTGGAAAAGACAAAAGGCAAAATCAGAGGTATATGGTTGGTTCTACCTTCTACATCATTTACTCTCAAATGAGACAATACATGTGCAAATACTACAATACAGACAGACATCATTTGATATTATTATCATCATCTTCTTTTCTATCTCCCTTGGCTCAGTTGTAAAATGGGGAAGATAACATTTGCACTACCTATTTTACAGGGTTGCTGTAAGGGAAGCATTTTATAAACTATAAAATGTTACACAAATGTGTATAATTATTATTAGTGGAAAGCACTAAAATGTATACACTCAGGAGACCTGCCTGAATTCTAGTCTTAATTATGTCATTAGTCACTAATTAGCTGTAGAACCTTGGGGAAGTCACAACCTCTCTAGGCCTCTGTTCTGTCATTTATAAAAACAAGAAGCTGAGATATTTGATTTTTATGGTCCTTTCTGAATTTATCATTCAACGATTCTGTATTACTGCATTTTCCTGGTTTCTCTTATTTCTATGACAATCCATTTTCCATTTCCTTTGCTGTCTACTCTTCTTTCTTGAACTCCCTAAGTGTGAGTGGATGCCTCGAAGCTTAGGCTTTTCCTCTCTCTGTATGCTAAGCTCTTCAGTGAGCTCATCCATTTATTCCATTTCTACCAGTCACAAAGCTAGAATGTCACCTTGGTTTATCTTTCTTCCTTCATACCTGACATTTAATGTCACCAAATCCTATTCTTCAAAAGACATATCATATTCATCCCTCCTCTTTTAATTCCTATGTTATCATGCTATTTCAGGGACTCTTCCTCACATACCTAGATTATTGCAACAACTTCCAAACCAGTCCCAAGCTGTTGTACAACCCATTTCCTTTGCTCTAGACTCAACTTTTCTTCTTTCAGTGTTAAGCAGGATCACTGTTCTCCATTCTGGTATCCCTTGCTCCATTATCCTTCCACTTTTCTTGTCCTGTCAATTCTTAGCCTTGAGTTATTACTAGTGCAGTACAATTGTACTACTGCTAAACTGAACTACTAGCTGTTAACCAATTCGACATTCTACCTCCCCCTGGGCATTTACAAAAGCAGCATTTCCACTAAGCTTCCTCTTCATTCTTGCCTCTCAGAATCCTTGTATTCTTCAAGGTCCAGGTCTGGTCAGATGCCACCTTCTGTGAGGCACTTTCCCTGTTTCTGCCAGTTCTTAGCATTTTCTCTTCCCCATGTTGCCTTATATTTACTTATCTGTACATGTTGTGCCCTACACTCCACTCCCCAGCCCCCAAGAATGTAAGCTTCTTGAAGACAAGGGGCTGTTTTCTTTTTTTTGCACATCCAGCACCCACTATGGTGCTTTACACAAAGTACTTAATACGTTTAATTGGTCTCCCTGCTCTCTCTTTTCCAGTTTATTCTGAATACTGTTAAAGGTTACCTTCTTAAAACAACATTACCATGGTATCACTCTCTTATTTAGGAAACTTATTTTAAGTTTCTCTTCTGCCTACTACATCAAATCTAAAAATCTGTTGGCTTTCAAGGTCCACCATAATTGGGTCCCAATGGATACTTCAATCTTACTTCCCATTACTCTCCAGTAAGTACCTTTGGTTGCAGTGAGGCAGACTTCCTTACTATCACCTACACAACCCACTCCTCATTTCCACTTCTGTTTTTCCTATTCCTGCAATGCTCTCCTTCCTCCATCTGTCAAAATCCTTGTCATTCTTGAATACTTAACTCAAAATCTTTCTCCCTCTACAAAACTTTCTACTAATTCAGTCCATACTTATTTCTCCCTTCTTTTAGTTCCTATTTCATTTTTACCCAATATCAAAAGTTTAACAGTTAGTTGTTGTCTCCCCAAATATAAAGGATGTCCCAAAAATTTTACTGCAGTTTTAAGCTTCAAACTTTGAAAGCTTAAAACTATATTAAAACCTGTGGATCACCCTTGTATTATAAACTTTTTGAGGGAAGAGAGTACATATTATATTTGGTTTGTACTATATGCTTTCCACTACATCTGGCATAATTCAGCACACTGTAGGAACTGAAAGAATATTTAACTAATATCATAAAAATTTCTCTGTGTATGATAATATACTTTGCACCTTAAAGTACAAAATGCCAAGTTTCTTAGGGTTTCTGCATCATTCTGATTTTATGCACAGGCATATTCTTTTTTTTTTTTAGGTTATACATGTACAATCATGTTAAACATATTTCATATTAGTCATGTTATGAAAGAAGAAATCAGAACAAAAGGGAAAAATCATAAGAAAGAAAAAAAAAGTGAAAATAGTATGTTCTGATGTGCATTCAGACTCTATAGTTGCTTTTTTTTCTTTTTTTCTTTTTTTTTGCTAGGCAATAGGGTTAAGTGATTTGCCCAGGGTTACACAGCTAGTAAGTGTCAAATGTCTGAGGCCATATTTGAACTAAGGTTCTCTTGATTCCAGGGCTGGTGCTCTATTCACCGTGCCACCTAGCTGCCCCCTTTCTCTGGATGTGGATAACATTTTCCATCATGAGTCTTTTGGAATTTCTGAATCATTGTATTGCTGAGAAGAGCTAAGTCTAACAACGTCAGTCATCACATAACGTTGCTATTGCTGCGTACAGTGTTCTAGTTCTGCTCACTTCATTCAGCATCAGTTCATGTAGGTCTTTCCATGTTTTTCTGAAATCCGCCTGCTCATCATTTCTTACAGCACAACAGTATTCCGTTACACTTATATACCACAACTTGTCCAGCCATTCCCCAACTGATGGACATCCTCTCAATTTCCAATTTTTTCCTACCACTGAAAGATCTGCTACAAATATTTTTGTACACGCGAATCCTTTTCCCCCTTCTATGATCTCTTTGGGATACAGACCTAGTAGTGGTATTGCTGGATCAAAAGGTATACACAGTCTTACAGCCCTTTGGGCAGAGTTCCAAATTGCTCTCCAGAAGGGCTGGGTCAGTTCACAAACTCCACCAACAATGCACTAGTGTTCCAATTTTCCCACATCTTCTCTAATGTTTGTCATTTTTCTTTTCTCACAGGCAACAAGATGGTCACAGTGACTGGTAGTTTTATCAGATCACTTCTTCATAGAATAGAATATTAGGCCACCAAGAAATCACTGGATGGAGTGGGGAGAAGGAAGAGAAGAACAAGGCAACGGAAGCCACCCTTTGTATACTTTACGATGTCTTGGTTACAGTCAGTAGAATAAAAATAAGGGATAGAGCAAGAGAAGTACACGTCTTTATTAGGGGTCACTCTAATTCTGAGATTAAGAGATTTCTGTTTAAATTTAGTAAACAGGCAGTTGTTAAAGCACTCCAGAAAAATTTTAACATACAAGAAAAATGCATTCTTAGAAATTACAGAATATATAGTCATGTGGTTTAAACAACATAATACTGAGGTAGCAGCTACATGGCATGATGGATAGAACATGGAGATGTAGATGGAGCCAGGAAGACCTGAGTTCAAGTCCTACTTCATATTCTTACTAGCGGTGTCTCACTTAATATCTCCTAGCTTCAGTTTCTTCATCTGCAAAAAGAGGATAACAGCAGTACCTACTTCATAGGGTTGTTGTGTCGATCAGAAGAGACAATTGTTAAACGTTAAGTGCTTTGCAGACCTTAAATCACTATATGAATATCAGCTGTTATTACTCATATTACTGAAATTGGGTTAAACTAGAACTCTGGCCAGTCATTCTGGGATTTAAGTTAGTTACTTAATTAAGTTACTCATTTTGATCAATAACTAATATTAACAACTTAAAAAGTACCTTGTATTAAGAAAAGTCTTTCTAGTTTCACTATTTTAGATTAAACATGATAGGCTTTGGGAACAATGAACTTGAAAGCCAAATCTTCATAATTTATTAGTCCTCTATTATATTTGCTATCACTTCAACGAAAAAGTAATTAATTCTGATGTCAGTAATACCAAATGAAAAATTTAATACCATGGAAACCTTAGCAAAGATCTATAAGAAGATTTTCCCATTTAAAAAATGCTTCATCTTTCTCAAACTGAAATGGACAATGGCTGCAGAACACACAGAAATTTTGACAATGGCAGAGAAATGTTACAAGAATTTCAAACTTAAGCATGCAGTCACTCCATGCAAGGCCAGGAAGTTGAATGAAGCATTACTTTGAAAGGTAAAGGAGGACAGGGAACTGCTACAGTCACCAGATTTCTAAAGTGCTAAATTTAAAAGATAGTGCAACAAATAAGATAACATAAAACATGACAGTTATTCCATAATAGGTCGTCCTCATAGGGTGCAGAAAAGTGATGATTTCATGACTTTAATGAAGATTGAACAATTAATTCTGACGATAAAACAAGAAATGGAAGGAAACATTAATCTTCAAAAAGATTCAAGAAGTAAGCTGGATTTCTAATCCACCTATTAAAGTTATAAAACAAGAGAATTATTATCAGCACAGCTTAGGTTTTTAAGAACAACTCAGCAGATATCTAATTTTATAATTAACTATATGTCAGAAAGATAATTTATTTAAAACAGATGGTTTATGGACCAAAAATTAATGATGAAACAATTAATGAGGTGAGAATATGTATATTTAGAAACCAAAGCTATTTCCCAACAACATTCAAGAATGAAATCATTCAGTTCCCAATTTAAATCGTTAACTTTAAAGAAAGGGTTATTTTTACCATGGCTGTAATACATGGTAGAGTAAACCAAACTGATATAATATAAATGAAGAGTTATAGCTTTTTTGGGGAAAAAATTACTTTGAAGGCCATCATGTTTTATGTTATTTGGAATATTTCTGAGGGAAGTGTATATTCATGACAAGCTATGCCCTCTAGACTCAGAAGTGTAAAAATTGTACTTCGTGCAGGATTCTTACCACTAACAAGGCACTATCATCAGTGTGTTGAGACCTTCTGGATGGAAAGGGACACTAGGGAAGTGGGAGAAAAATGAAGTAATGTCAACAATATACAGCAAGGGCAGAAGATAATATAAACAAATACACACTTTGGAAGAAGATATTAATAAGATGTAATGAGAAGATTGCTAGCAAAGTACCACATTCACACCACCTTGGAATTCCATTCGTATTAATTAACCAACAAATATTTATTAAATGTTTACTCTGTGTTATGAATACTTGGATTTCACTGGGCAAATGTTACTACATGAAAACAACTTATATGCCACCTAAAATCTTTTGTAAGCAAGAAGCAAATAAGGTAGTTCACACTATGAAGAAGAGAAAGCAGAAGCACAGAGCACTACAGTGAGATTTTCATGCCCATTCAGTGAGAAAGAGGCAGAAACCAGGAAGAAATCTCGGCCCACTCATGGTGAGTTTAGCTGCCTGTCAATTAGGCTTCTCAAAGACAACCCAGGATATATTTGAAAATTAAAATTCCAGGTATTTTTCTCTTTTGATTTTGTCCAGAAGCAGTTTAACTTTTTGGAAAATTCAAATAACCTATGAATATGTTATCAAGAAAGAAGAAAACATTTAAGAGAAGGGAGGTAGGAAAGAATATGGATTATAAGGGCTTCAAAAGTTCTGCTGGAGTTATAACTCTGAGTTCTCTTTCAGATACTCTGCCAATTCAAAGGCCTGAATATAAAAAAAAATCAAATGAAATGATGTTCAGGTACCCAGTGAAAATTTAAATAACAACCTTTTTTTTGGACCACTAATTCATTATTATTCCAGATAACTTCTTCCACTGATGCAAAACTATAATACATACCTAAGATGTGTCAAAGGCAAGACTTGAATGCAAGTCTTGCAGAGTCCAAGGATGGTCCTCTACACACAACATAATGCATAATGGATAATCATTTGACTGGAAACAAATTCTCCATCATGTCTGAGTCTAAGCACAATTTTTAAATATATTATGCACTTAAGCTTACCTCATTACCAATATTCAACAAGCATTTAACTGTGTAACACATTCATCACATAAATTCATCACATAATTTACAAAAGTAAAGTACAAACCAGAACTTGTTTCTGTTACTTGACACATTGTCACATAAATTTTATAGAGGGTCAGGATCATACAGTGGGAATGATAAGATGGCACTGTAGAGGGAACATGTTACTGGTAAAACAAATGTAAGTTTTAACAATCTCATCAGAAAGAAAATTAGTTCAAAACAATTAAGTGACTTCTTAACAAGGTCAGGAAATTGCACATATGAACATACAAAGTAAACAGTCTATTCAATACTGAAACACTAGCTTACAAACAAGGAATAATCAGTGAAGGAAAGATAGCATGTGATAAAAAAAATCATGCAGAAGTACATGTACAGAACACGTGAAGTTTTGAGATAAAAGGAAAAAATGACAGTATTTTGATGAGAAAAAACTATTAATAACAATAAACTCCATTACAATCTTACTCTCTTACCTCACTATCAGGAAGGCTTTGTTTCTGTGGACTCTGTGATGCTTTTTGCTATAAATAAAGACAGAACTTGTTAGGACTAAGTAAATTACAAAAGAGAAATTTTGATCTTCATCACACAGCACTTATTATGGTGTATATGTATTGGCATGGGAAGTTTTCTGATGGGGATTTTCCTACACCAATGAAACCACAGGTCTGTTTTTTATTTTTATATTTTTTCTGGCTAGGCAATGGGTTAAGTGACGACTTGGTCCAGGGTCACACAGCTAGTAAGTTAGTGTCAAGTGTCTGAGGCTGGATTTGAACTCAGATCCTCCTGACTACAAGGCCGGTGCCTTAAAAGTCAATAATTAAGCACCTACTATGTACAAGGCACTGTGCTAGAAGGGTTCAAGGATTACAATATAAGGAAATCTGATGGTCCCTGTCTTCAAGGTCTTATAATTGAAAAAGGGGAAATCTAACAAACTCATATGTAGTATTATTATATTTAGATATATGAAACTGAAAGTAGGTGAATGAATAAATTCATAACCACAGCCATAGTTGTGTTCTTCCTTTGCCCCATTTGCTCCCTCGAAGCAATTATACTCTTATTATTGTCTCTACAAAAGTAATTCCAATTTAGCCTTGTATTTCCAACTGTTTCAGGGATACCACTTTATAGTTATTACTGGTTCCTTCTTCTCTTCTACTTCTCATACTCAATCATTCATCCCTTCCCTCAAAAACACATATTAAACATAAGGTATTAGACACATGGCATAGCAGATAGCGAGCTAGTGCCAGTCAGGGTTCAAGGCCTACCTTTCCACATATTGAACGTGTGACCCTGAGTAAGTCACGTAACTGAGAGAGTGCAATGTAAATGGGAATAGTTTAATAACATAAATGAAAATATAATATAACATAATGTTAATGTGTGGTTTTCTAAGTCAATACGCTGTTGGCAGGGATTCCTTTATATTTGAATTGGATAGCACTGACTTAACTTGTCAGTGGCTCAAGTAACTTTCTAAGCCTCTAAGTGGCAGAGCAGTTGCTGAGGTTTGTTGATAGAAGGAATGTCCTCCCTATGAATTTCCTATCTTGATGAAATCACAGGTTTGGACATCTGGTCTACACAGTAAGTCTTTACCACAAAAAGTCCAAGGTCCTATGGATTACTGATTCATCCTTTAAAGATTTCTTAGTATATTTGACCTGTAAAGGATCTGAGCAGTTATCTGGTCCAATCTCCTCATTTTACATATGACAAAATCAATTACTCTCAATAAGCATTTGCTAAGCATCTGCTATTTGTCAAGCACTGTTATGGGCAATGGGGATACAAACTCCAAATTGAAACAGTCCCTGCTCTAAAGAAGTGAGACAACATTTACATATGAAAATGCAAAAATTACACATAAAATAAATATAAGATAAGTGGGAGGGGGTAGGCACTAGCAGCTGAGGGAACAGGAAAAGTCCCATCTAGCAAAGTGGTGGTGTTTAAATTGAAGAAAACAAGAGATTGTAAAAGGTGGAGGCAAGAAGGGGACATATGCCAGGAAATGGGGTCAGGTCTGTGCCAAGGCGTACAGATGGTAGACTCCAAGTGCAGGGTGTGAGGAACAGCAAGGCAAATTTAGATAGGCAGTAAAGTCTGAGAAAAGGAGTAATATAAGTCTAGAAAGACAGTTTACAGTATGGTTGTAAAATGCTTTAAATGCCCAAAAGAGGAGTTTGTAAATGTCCCTAGGGGTGACTTAGAGAGGCAACATTCTACTTAAAGAATCCTATAGATTAAACAAAAATTAATTGAAACAATTTCTTCCAAGTAGCAACATATAAAAGAAACCCACATAGTTCATTAGTTTTCTGTAAATTATATATTAATACCAAAACTACCAGAAAAATTCCATTTAAAATAACTACACAAAATATATGAGATCATCTACAATGGCATTTAAAGAATCTATATGAATACAGCTACAAAACACTTTTTACATAAATAAGGATAGATTTATATAAATGAAGGTATTAATTGTTCAGGGAAGCTAGGTGGCACAGTGGATAGGTGAAGACTCATCTTCATGAGTTCAAATTTGGCTTCAGTCACTTCCCAGCTGTATGACCCTGGGCAAGTCACTTAACTGTTTGCCTCAGTTTCCTCATCTGTAAAATGAGCTGGAGAAGGAAATGGCAAACCACTACAGTATCTTTGCTAAGAAAACCCCAAAATGGGGTCACAAAGAGTCAGACATGACTGAAATTACTTAACAACAACAAATTAATTGTTCATGGTTGTTCTGTGCCAATACTATAAAAATTACAATACTGCCTAAATTTAGTCAGTACTACACTAATCAAACTACCAAAAGTTATTTTTTTTAGAGCTAAAAAACAAAAGACCAAAAATCTCAAGTGAAATGATGAAAAAAGTGGGAAGAAAGGGCCTAGTAATACTAGATCTAAAACTAAACTAACAAAGCAATTAAAACTATCTGGTAGGCTATATACGTCCTTGAGAGAGGTCACGAGGAGCAGAATTAGATATACATTTCTGCATGTGGAAAATTCACGGATCTGTTTTGCTTGACTATGCTTATTTCATACAAGGACTATGTTTTTCTTTTTCATTTGGAGGAAGAAGAAAAGGAGTTATAAAAATTCACAGAAGAGAACAGAGGGAAGTTCAAAAGGAAAAACAGAAAAGCAGGACTGTTTTGAAATAATGCGTTGGATTTATTTTATACCTTAAAAAAAGAGATTCACATATAATTCTTTCATCCCTTTCTACTTTGTTGGGGTGGGTGGAAAAAGCTTGTATAAAATGCCAACTATGTGCTAGGCACTGTTCTAAACACTTTACAAATATTATCTTATTTAATCCTCACAAGAACCGTTTGAAGTAGATCCTATTATTATCCTCACTGCAGTCAAAGAAACTGAGGCAGAAAGAGGTTAAATGACTTGCCTCGGGTGACATTTGTCTAGGGTTGGAGGCTAAACTTCTTTCTTTCTTTAGGTGAGCCAGTTGGAGTTAAGTGACTTGCCCAGAGTCATACAGCTAGTGAGTGTTATGTGTCTAAGGCTGGATTTGAACTCCTGACTCCAGGCCCACCACTCCATACACTGCATCACTTAGCTGCCTTTTTTTGTTCACTAAATTCAGAATAAAAAATAAGTAAAAAAAAAAAAGAATATTTGATACTAATTAAGGGATACAAAAAGTGGTCAGTTGAACCAATTAGATAAGGACTTACTAATCAACAAAAGCTCTTGGAAAGTAGTCTGGCAGAAATAAGATTTAGACCGACATTTAATGTCATATACTCCAATAAGTTCCAAATGGATACATGCTCTAGATACAAAAGGTCATATCATAAATGAGAGGAACAGGGAAGGAAATACCTTTGCTAATTATGGATAGGGGAAAAGTTCTTGAACAACAGATAGAGAGCATCAAAGGAGATAAAATGGTCAATTTCAATTATATAAGCATTTTGTTTAGTACATACAAAATAAGGGCACTTAAAATTAGAATGGAAACAGTAAACTGGAAAAAAAATCTTTGCAGAAAATTTCTCTGATACAAGTCTCATATCAAAGATACATATGGAATTGATTCAAATTATCAAGACCCAGGGGCAGCTAGGTGGCGCAGTGGATAGAGCTCCAGCCTTGGAGTCAGGAGGACCCGAGTTTAAATCTGACCTCAGAGACATTACACTCACCAGCTGTGTGACCCTAGGCAAGTCACTTAACCCTGACTGCCTCATTAAAAAAACAAAAAAAAAATAAAATAAAACAAAAATAAAAAACAAATTATCAATACCCATTCCAACAGGTAAATGGTCAAAGAATATTAGCTGCCAGTTCTCAGGAGAAATTCAAGCTGCTGACAACTGTATGAAAAAAATACTCCAAATAAAATAAATGCAAATCAAAACAACTCAGAGGTAGAACTCCATATCCATTATATTGGCAAAGATAAGATGAAAATGGTACCTGCTGGAAGTAATATGGAGTGACAAGCCCACTCTTGGTGGAACTGTGGACTGGTCCAACCAATGTTTTTGCAGAACAATTTGGAATTACTGGAACACTCAATTCATTAAACTGAGCATAATCTTTCACTGAGTGATACTACTACTAGGCCTATACCCCAAAGACATAAAAAAAAAGAGAAGGACCTAATGTAAAAAAATATTTACAACTCTTTTTGTTGCAGCAAAGAATTGGAAATTAAGAAAGTGCCCACCAAATGGGTATTGGTAATAAAAAATTATCGTACCAGAAGAAATGATTAAATGGGTGATTTCAGAGAAAACTTTCATAAAATGATGCTGTGTGAAATGAAGAGATAAAACAGTTCATATTATGACTACAAAATTAAAAGAAAACCCAAAATACTTTGAGACTTGAGAACGGTAGTCAATGCAATAACCAACCATAGCTCCAGAAGACGGATGATGAAGCATGTGATCCACATCTTGAGAACAATTTGGAACTATGCCCAAAGGGCTACAAAACTGTGTATACCCTGTGACTCTGCAGTACCACCATTAGATCTATATATCCCAAAGAGAAAGAAAAAGGAAAAGGACCTAAATGTACAAAAACATTTATAGCAACTCTTTTTGTGGTGGCAAAGAACTGGGGATACCCATCAATTGGGGAATAGCTGAAATAGTTGTGGTATGTCATTGTGATGGAATACTACCTCACTACAAGAAACAATGAGGGAGATGGTTTCAGAAAAACCTGAGAAGACCTATATGAACCGATGCAAAATAAAGTGAGCAGAAATAGAAGATCACTACATAGTAAAAGCAATATCATAATGCTTATTGACTGTGAAATACTTAAAGACTCTGAGCAATACAGTGATCCAGGACAATCTGGAAGGACTCATGATGAAAACTGCTATCCACTTCCAGAAGAGAAGCAATGAACAGAGTGTAAAGTAAAATACAATTTTCTAACTTGCTTTTTTTGTGACATGGCTAATATGGAAATATGTTTTGCCTTTCACATATATAATGGGTATCATATTGTTTGTCCTCTCAGTGGGTGGGGAAGGGGCTGGATGGAGCGTGACAATATGGAACTCAAAATTCTAAAATATGCTAAAAACAAGTAAATAATAAATCCACAAAATCAACCAACCAACCAACCAACAAATAAATAAATGAATAAGGGCAGAAAATAAAGACCAAAGTGATGCTGGATTTTCAAATTCTTTTTCACAAAACCACAAATCACTATCAATCCATATTTTCAGTGAGCAATTACTTTTAATTAGGTCAAAAAAATAAAAATAAAATAAATTTACCCAATGGAATACCAACATAGGACAATCCACACTGATACTATCAGAAACACATATGCTTCTGTACTTCTAGATAAAATCTGGAACACTGGTTGAAAGATCTTACCTTGACAAAGTCCAAAACAGCATCTCTTTGTATCTGTTTGGTCCTTATTTTCTCCTCTTCATACTGTAGGGCAGCAAGTTGTGCTTCTTTCCGTGTACGCTCTACTAACTGCTCTCGTCTCCGGTGAAATTCTGTGTCTGTCTGTGAAAGCCATACAACATTGTTATTCCTCAGGCACAAATGGGTAGTTTTAAGGCTGAATTCACAACAAGAGAGAAGGAGCAGCCCAAAGTGCTTTTCTCTTATCATCTACCATTCCTTAAAATAGGTGTATTCCCAATCTTTTCTATGGTTTGCATCTTGTTGATCTGGATGGAAATAACCACAGGGGAAAAGGCTAGTTTTCAGTTTTGAAAGGGGCTAGAAATTGGAGATGCCTAAGTAACTTTAGTGTTTGCATGTAAAATCAATAGAACATACCTAACTTGTATGAGCTCACAAACAGATAACAGGGTGATAGATCCAGAAATCAATGACAATTGGTTTAATAATATGAAAGAAAGTAATTTTTTCCCTGAAAAAAAAGCTCTACCACTCAGCAAATTACCTGACTGTGACTCTGTGACAGTGATAGAAGATAAGATGCTTCAACTGGAATCCTGATTAAAAGAAAGAAACACTTTTTGGTAACTAAATAAATACAGATTCAAGTGACATGTATAATTTTAATATACTGCAAAGACAGCCTTTTGGTAGACTGTTACCAATAAACTACAACAGTGTGGTCAGTACTGTAAGAGTATCTACATTTTATAAACCTGAACTCATCATTAAATCAAGCTAAAGTAATAACTGATGCTACTAACTCATGTTTCATGTTATTTGATATCACTGATTAATGTACTGTTTATATCACTGGGCCAAATATAGTTAACTACAGATAACTACAGTTACCTAAGGTAACTTTTCCCAAACTTAATTACATATATCATGTCACAGATAGCTATTATTTATTTACCAGAATGAACCACAGAGATGCATGTAAATCAAGATCTTTTTTTATACACAAGACCATTTTCCAGACATAAATCTGGCCCACAAGATAACATGGTAATGACTCCTATTAATCTTGTTCTGGTTTTCAACAGAAAAACTCTGTCACATATAAGAACGCTATTTAGCAGTAGAATACGAAAATATAGCTGATTTTGATTTAACAAAGGGAAGCAATCTGGTACTTTAAAAATTCTAATTTTTACACTGTAGTCTTAATGTAAGTGATTTCTTTTCTTTTTTCTTTAGCACCTGTCTCTTTTCTGTAAATCTGTAATTTATTAGTTTTTCTGAAGACAAAAATTTTCAGAATATTAACTTCCTAGTTTTTAATCATGCTATTTAGGACCTGACTGTCACAACTATAGACTAAATCACCCTAAACCATTAGAAATCAGGATTACTTTACATTAATCAAGTCACTCCCTTGCTCCAAGGCTCCAAAGGACCTCTCAATGCATACATAATAGGATTCTAATATCTTAACCTGGCTTCAAGGCTCTCCTGAGCCAGCCCCATCCAGTTTAACATTATCACCTACTACACCTCAAAAACCTTTCAGTGAACCTCCTGGTCCAGTGTGCTTAGTGTGTCTCTTTAACATACAATGACTGCTGAGTCCAAGTTAAACATAATACTCCTCATATGTAACATGTCTGCACCCTTCCCTCCATATTTCAAAGTCCCATCCTCAAGTTCGATCCCTTTTATGAGCGCTTCAAGGCTATACTAATTTTCCTGTCTCCGAACTCTAATAAAGCTTACTTCCCTAAACTGTTTATAGACAATATAAGGTAGCAAAGTAACGAAATGTATTTAAATCTCAGCCTCCTCTGTTCCATGAAACCTTCAAAGACAGTCCAGTGTAAAGTGATCTTGTTGTTCTATGAAATTCATGACACCTATCCATGTCACTGATTTGGCAATAAATCATAAACATGACATTTTTAAAAATTGCTTTTTGCAGTATTTATAACATATTTCCACCTAGAATGTAAATTGTATTAGGGTAAGAGCCATGTCTCATAAGAAGGATAAGGAATTGTATGCTCTAGGAAAGCTTGAAACTTTAAATACTCTGTATGACTACCTCACAGAAGCCTTCGCCTTAACAAATACCACTGGATTTCTCAAAAAAACAAATACTAAAATACAATGGAGAGTGGAATTTTCTTTTCTGGACAAGATGGCTGCCTGAGCAGGGACAGACCATCCAGCTTCCATATACTTATTCTAGCTAAAACCTGAAATTTGCACCAGATTGATTAATGACCAAGAAATCTAATGAGAAGCTACAGCAAGTTGATTCTGCTGTGAAGGTCAAATGTGAAAGATGTCAATTTGCTATCATATAATTTTGCTGAAAAAAATTATGCTCTCTCAAAATCAACACAATTATTTTTCTAAAAATGACTATAATGAATTCAAAAGGTTTCAAAGCTGCTTGCCTGTGTCTCCTTCTGAAACTTCTCTTCTGTATATATATGTATACATACATACATACATATATACACATATATATGTATACACACATATTGAAATGCTACATTGACCTTTTCCTCTATTTGAGGGTAAGGACATTCCTATCACTGGCTCAGCTGGTTATTTCTTGCATCACAATAATATTCCATTACACTCACGTGCCATAATTTGTTCAGGCTTTCCCCAACTGATGGGCACCCCTTAGTTTCTAATTCTTTGCTAGAGCAAAAAATACTAATTAAATACTTCCAATGCTTTCCAGAATGGCTGAGACAATTCAAAACTCTACCAACAGCACACATTAATATGCTTATCCTACCCCAGCCTCCTCTCCCAAACAACTGTCATTGAGGTGGAACCTCAGAGTTGTTTTATTTGCATTTCTCTAATTATTTGTGAGTTGGAGCATTTTTTTTATCTAGCTCTCGATAGTTTTGAGTTCTTCCTTTGAGAACTGCTTATTCACGTCCTTTGACAATTTACCAACTGAGAATGACTTATTCTTACATGTCTGAATAAGTTCCTTATGTGTCTTGGAAATGAGACCTTCATCTTTTAAGGAATTGCTTCTTTTAATTTTAAAGAAGTAATGCTATTATATTCATTTTCTTTTGGCTGTGTGACCCTAGGCCAGTAACTTAAGTTCTCAGGACTCCAGGCAACTCTAAGACTACAAGTTACAGAGAAGTTGTTGACTTGCATTGGTAGAGTGAGTTTATTCATCCAAGAGCTTCTTATTCCAACGAAATGACTGGTTTAGTCCTTATTCCTGTCCTAAACATTAGGGAAGGAAAAACCTAAAGACCATGAAGCTTTCTTCCTGTATTCAGCTTATAAACAATGAGTTTTTAGAATTCTGAGATGAGAGGTATCTTTCTCAGCCCTAAGGAGCAAATTTTGGAAGCACCTTGAATACAAAGGTCATTAGTGGAAAACACTATGGGCACATGATTAATGTTTCATGTCTAAGTTTCCCTGACTGTAAAATGAGAATAATATTTTGTTTTTGCTTTTCCTTATCTCCCTAGCCTACAAATGAACAAGCTCTTCCAAGTTTTAAGGCAGATCATTTCATAATTACACTTTTAAGTGTTCAGAAAAATTTTATAAGAGAGCCACATTTCATTTAAAACACTACACAAGGCTAATATACAATAGTCTTCAAATTAATTATGCAATAAAAAGGTGAACAGGAATCTTAATTTAGGATTGAAAAAAGCTTATTTTAATACATCTTGAATAAGTAGTATAGGTCATCTATTTTTTGAAAGATTTTAGGTCTGACTAGAGTTTTACATACATAATTTTAATTTAAGAAAAATCTATTAGGCCTAACAAAAATTATTAGGTTAACTGTACTATAAATTATATTATATAACTGAGTCACCTTATTCAAAACTTTTTAGCCAGGAAAGACATATTTTTCTTTGCTGAGTAGCTCTCTAAAAATCTAGAACCTAAGTAAGTCTTTTCTAATTCAATATGCCTAAAACTCTTGTCATTGAATTTTAATTCCAAAGTAAATGATTATGGATAACATGACCTGATTTCTCATACCTGTTTTGATGAGAGTATCTTCTCGTGTCTTCTGTTCTTTGAAAATCTCTAATGGGTACTGGCTTTACTGGTGAACTCTAAACCCAAATAAAGATGAAACATCAAATTTAACATACATATCCTGAAATCTGAACTACGAATTACGTAGTAGTTCAATTATATACTGAACTATGTAATCAGGGATTTTGTCTCTTAGATTATAAATAGTTTAGCAGAATCTATAGATGATATTTTATACCAGCCTTTTAGCATTATTCTAATGTATGATCTTTTTTCTTTGGACTGGACTTGTGATTTTATTGGCATCTCCTTGTCTCAGAGGTCAGTGTTCTATCCACTGTACCAGGGTGTTGGTTAGCCTTAATACCTATTTTAATACTTCAAGGACCAATGATTTTATTAGTGTGTTCCTTATGTTAATTCAGACTGCAACCCTTTCACACCTCAGGGTGAGGACAGGAAGAAGGCAACAAGCACCTATTACGTGCCAGACACTGTGACAAGTGCTTCACGAATATCTCCTTGGATCCTCAGAACAACTCAGGGAGATTAAGTGCTATTATTATCCCAATTTTACTATTGAGTAAATTGAGGTGGACAGAGGTTAAGCAGTGTGTCCTGGGTCACAGAGGTAGTAAATGCCTGAGGCCAGATTTGAACTCAGGTCTTCCTGCCCAGGCCTGGTGTGCCTGCTACTATACCACCCATTTTACCTTAGTAGAATTTTTTCCTGAGTTGCAGGAGATTAAAAATTCACTACCTGGTGGAGAACCTTGTGGTGACAGAACTTTCCAGACTTAGGCTGGTCCATGAACAACTGACAAAGTAGGTCTCATTAGCTACATGAATCCCTTTTTACCTGATTAGGACACTGCAGAGCTTGTACTTTTCTGAAAAATCAGTTTGGATCGGTGAATAATGCTGGATTTGGAATCAGGAAGACCTTGGTTAGAAACAGGCCTTCCTAGTTTTATGACCCTGGTTAAGTCATTTAACCACTCTCCAAGTCTCAGTGTCCTCATCTGTAAAATGGGGATAATACTAAGTATCTACTTCAAAAGGTTATTGTTAGGATTAAATGAGATAAAGTGTGTAAAGCACTCTGCAAATCTTAAAACACCATAGAAATGTAGTTGTTGTTCATGATGATGATGACGATGACGATGATGATAACCTTCAAAAACTCTGTAACTTCTCAAGGCAGCTAGGTGGCATAGTGAATAGAGCACTGGCCCTGGAATCAGGAGGACCTGAGTTCAAATCCAGCCTCAGACACATGACACTCACTAGCTGTGTGACCCTGGGAAAGTCACTTAACCCCAATTGCCTCTCCAAAAAAACCAAAACCAAAACAAAACAAAAACCCCAAACTCTGTAAATTCTCCATGCCTTGATGAACCACCACAGTAAAACCCTAGTGGAAGGTCACAAGTATATACTTCAATATTTCAAGGATCTGTGATTTTCCTTCTACAACTTAGTAGATATGACAGCCTTTGAGATGTACTATGATCTAGAAGTTTATTCCCCTATGGCCAAACTGGTAGTAAAACTCTGATTTAGCTAGACTAATGACAGGACAGAGCTGTAACATTTGTCAATAAACCCATATTCAATGCTTTCCAGCTTAGCTGAACCTCCTAGTGCCCTATTAACAGAGAACTAGAGTCACCTTCACATCACAGTGGAGATTATGAGTACGAATTTAGTGCAAGCAGTTATACACAAGCACAAACATATTCACCTACCCACAACTCTTCTAGTACTTCATAAAATTATATTTTACTCTGCACAGACTACATAAACACATAGTATAGTAACACAGAATCTTAAGAGACAGAAGGAACCTTAAAGGTCATCTAGTTCAATCTTTTACACAGTAGATGAATCTTTTTACATTATACCTGATGTAATAATATATGTCTAGCAATAGAGAGCTCATAAATTAATTTTCTTTACTATTTCCCTATCATAAATTGTTGCTGTTGATAAGTACATGTGTTGTTACAAGGCTACCTGATAATATCAAGATGCTATAAAACGTAATTCTTATTTTTTGTATAACCCTATGGAAAAAAACCCAAGTACCCCATATTTTGGCCAAAGTATTTGTCAGAGACAAATTTGTTAGTTAAAATTCAGCAATCTCAGCTTAAACAAGAGATTTCCAAAAGAAGGTATCTGTCCTTTTGTATCTCCTGCACTGAAATCTTATCAACATTCTTATCATACATCTTATCCCAGGGCATTAATTTCCTAATATTAATTTGTGATGTGTAGCCTAAAAAAGGAAGAGGGACATTACTATGCTTCCATAGTACTATACCATAATATAACTAGCAGAACAGAAATATCATTGGCAAGTTCACAAATACAGGTGAGAAAAAGGTTACTTTTTACAGTATTAAAATACTTGTGTCCTCTACAAAATTCTGCTCTGATACCTTACTGCAATGCAGAGATAGATGACTCTCGCTTCTCAAAGGTCATACCAGTAGAATTCAGGGTCTAATGAGTTCTATAAAGTTAGAAAGGCTCTGAATATCAGTCAGTGGCAGGCTATATGTCTTTTGTCCTATTTGATCTGTTCATTCTGACTACTACTCTCTTTCTTCTCCCTTTTGTGGTTAAACTCCTCGAGAAGGCTATTTACAATAAGCACTTCCTTTTCCTTTTCTCTCACTCTTCTCAATTCTTTGCAGTCTGGCTTTCAACTGTATAAATTCACCCGAACTACTCTCCCCCAAGTTACTAATGAATGCTCAGCTGCCAAATCGAATGAGCTTTTCTCAATCCTCATTCTCCTGAAATTCTCTGCAGCCTCTGACACCGTCAGTCACCCTCTTCCCCTTGATACTCTCTTCTCTCTAGGTTTTTAAGACATTACTCTCTCCTGGTTCTCCTCTTATCTATCTAACTGCTCCACAGTCTCCTTTGCTGGATCTTCATCCAGGTTATACTTGCTACCAGTGCGTGACCAAAAGGACTCTGTCCTAATCCTCTTCTCTTCTCCCTCTATACTTCTTCATGTGGTGTCCTCATTAGCTCCCATGGATTCAATTACCATCTCTGTGCCTGATGATTCTCAAATCTAACAATACTGCCTGAATTTCTCTTCTGATCTAAAATCTCAAACTCAAAATATCCAAAACTGAGCTCTTCTTTTCCCCCAAACCTCCCATCTTCCTAATTTCCCTATCACTGTAGAGGAACTACCATCTTCTGAGAGACCCAGGCTCACAAGCTAAGTGTCATCCTCAACTCTTCATTCTCTCTCACCCTTTATAGCCAATCTGTTGTCAAAGCTTGTTGATTTTTACCTTCACAACATCTCCTGAATATGCCTTCTTCTCTTCTCTTCTCTGACACTCCTACCCTACTGGTGAAGGTCATCATCTCATGACTAGACTAATGACATAGCATGCTGGCTGGTTTCCCTGCCACAAGACACCCCCTACTCTAGTCCCTCCTCCACTCAGCGGTCCAATTCATCTTACTAAAGTGCAGGCCAGACTCTGTCATTCCTCTATTCAATAAACTCCAGTGGCTCCCTATTACTTTCAGGATCAAATATAAAATCCTCTTCAAAGCCTTTCATAATCTGTTCCCTTCCTACCTTTCTAGTCTTCTTACTCCTTACAACCCCCACATATGGTAGGATTAAGCGACCCTGTCCTCTTTGCTATTCTTTCCATAAGACACTCCACTTTTCAAGTACGAGCATTTTCTCTGGCAGTCCCCCATGTCTGGAATGCTCCCTCACTTTATCTATGTCTTCTAGCTTCCTTGGCTTCCTTCAGGTTTCAGATAATATCTCACTTTCTCCAAGAAGTCTTAATCTTAATCTTAGTGCCTTCTGCTGGAGAATAACTACCCTCATTTCCCTGCCAATTTATCCCACATATATCTTGTTTGTACCTAGTTGTTTGCATGTTCTTTCCTTTATTACACTGAGAGCAGGGAACTTGAGAGCAGGGACTTTTCTCTTTGCCTTTCTCTGTAATCACAGTGCAGGCACAAAATAAATGCGAGCTGGCGACTGACATAGCCTAGCTAAGTTTGGACAGATTCATCACCAAGAGATTGGCCATTGCTGGTAAAATTTTTTGGCTATTAATTTGGGAAGACTATCTAAAGTAAAGATGGAATAAGTTGTCATACACTTTGGTGGAGGAAATCCCTATTTGCTGTTTTGAAGTAGTAAAGTATGTAAAATAGACACAATATAGCAGCACAAAGACGAGGAAAAAAGGAAGGGAGCTTACTGCCGCCCCCACTGATTTAGACATTCAAGCAAGGGATATTCCCATACTATTTTAAATGTCACAGTGCAGGCCTCATTCAATCATCAACTAGTTCTTAAGCTAACAATAAATATGCTATGCAAATACTTTGCCAATGTGAGAGAAGCTGTTAAAGAACATTTTCTCACTGAATTTTAAGTCATGTATGGTGAAAGTACTTCATCATATTTTTAAAGGGATCAAGTTTTCAAAAAAAAGGTACAGAATAAACAATAATGGTATATGATAAACTGACTTGGATTAAAAAATTACAAATTATTTTTATAGCATGTTAATGGGGGCCATTCTGTTAGAGTTTAAATAATGCTCTAATAGGCATTTTTATTTTTAAAAATAACATTAAATTTGACAATGAACCCTTAACATAGCCACAAAATAATTAAAGAGACAAATAAAAGAATTTGTTGTCAAGATCATAACATGTCATTGTAAATCATGCAGCAAATTAGCTGCCCTTTGCCACTGTAGCTTGAATCATAAATATGTTCATCATTCAGCTGGCCCAGTGTTATCTCCGAGTTGTACCACTTTTGGCTAATACAATACAATCCTGCTTTACAAGTAAGATGTCTTATAGCCTTAACAAAAAAAAGTATTATGTACAGAACTATTCAAATAGAAAAGTCAAAGGCTTTCTTTCTTCTTAATAAGAATAAAAATAATCCCAACGAATACACTCATAGTCTTGAAGTGATCACACTCTGCTTCTAAGGAACTAAGTATATAATTTTCCAAAAAGGTTTGAAGCATGTTGCAAATAAACCCTGTTTTGAGTCTGAGTATTTCTAAACATCAACATCCTATCACAAGTAGCCCCAACTTCTTTGTTGTTTTTGAACAGAAATACTTATGTGCCTTGCTTCTACTTTGCACCACTGGAATTTGAAAAAGATGTTTTGCAGATGGCAGTGTGCTGAATGCTCTATTTGTTAGCTAAGACCATTTTGTGCAGCTCACTGAGGAATATCCAAGTAGTTAATTTTACTGACAATTAATTTACATTCTGTGTGATTAAATATCAAATAACTAGTCTTAACAATTTAATCCTATTTTACCTTGAGTGTTTACATTAGGTTGTAAGCTCTTTCATGGTTGGGACTTTTTGTTTCTTTTTGTATCCCCACTGCTTAGCACAGTGCCTGGCAAAGGGTTGGTGTTTAATAAATGTTTATGGACTGAATGACTAATGAATGAATAAAATATACCTGGCACAACCAAAGAATTAAATTTGATAATTAATTCTTCACAAAACAAAGCAACATTAATACCTGAAGAATGAAGTCATATAGTCAATAGTTACTCTGAGACTAAAGAATTTCACACTACCATGAAGACTTTTATCAAGGAATAGGAACAAACTTGAGTTTAAATATTTGTACCACCTCATGAGAAATTCGCCGCTGTTCAATATATGATGTGAATCGTGAGCTGAGGCTGTCTGAATCCAGGCACTTGGGTTGCCTCATCTCTTCCTCCTCTTCTTCTGTAGCACAGCTGTCGATATAGTCAATCTGATCCAGTTCATGTTCCACTTGACACAGAGAAACACATATGCACACCAGAAAAAGCATTCAGATTAGATAACAGTGGAGAAAGAAATAGAAGCTATTAAGTGTTATATTTACTTGAATGACTCCTCTAGATTACTGACCCCTCATACTTTTTCACTGATACTATCTACTTTAAAAGGAGATCAAGTTATATGTATGTTTGTGATCTGGTCTATAGCCACTATCAGAAAAATTTATTTTAGTTATCTTCCCTTTTATGAAAGAATATAATTAGTGGCAAAGTGAATGTCATGAGTTTTTTCATCTTTTCATTCTTGTTTCATTCTTCCAACAATTCCTCACAGTTTTGGATAAGGCTGTTTATACTTGTGAGAGAGCCAGCTTACTTTTAAGTAATTGAAAGATACTGTTAACATTTAGGATTTGTTTTCAAGTACTGGTTTGAGAAATGAGCTCCTTGGGTTCAGCTCATAGCTTACGTCTTCTCATAGAATTAAAAGTACACTAGATAAGTGACAACCACATATTTCTTCCTATTTCCCTTGAGCCAGTAAACTGTGAAAAGGAGGGTAGAGAGTGAGAAGAAACTGGATGAGGTAGAAGAATGAATGTTAACTAATTTTTCATTCTTTCAGTCCTGGTAGAAGAATGAGTGTTAACTAATTTTTCATTGTTTTAATCCTATATATAACCTGTAGCAAATATTCTGATGCAGCTCTAATACAGGCTTTTTTTAACTTGATGAGGTCAAATAATACTCTGCTTAAACATAACTTTATTGGTGGCAGGATTATTACCAGTGCAATTATGGAGCAGGGAGATTGGTGTTTGATGTTTTACACAGATATGAAGGGAACCAAAACTTTTTTTTTCTTCTCAAAATGCATGACAGAAAAAAAAATGTTAGTAAGGCATAAGTATGTTGATTCTTCTAAGTAGTAACCAGTCTATCTATCATTGCAAGTCAAATTTCGGGGTCTTTTTAAAAATAACAGTTAAATAATACAACGTAAAGGAAATAAATCGTTCTTTTACTTAAGAACAACTATTCTTTTTGTTTCTAAAATAATTCCACATTTCATTTTACAGGTAGTATAGCAAAATACATAGAGAGCTGGCATTGGAATCAGGAGAACCACGGTATTAGTCCTGCTTCTGAAAAACACCTGCTGTTTGACCACAATAAGTCATTCAATTCCTCAGTGAGCCCCAGGCAACTAAGAGCAGCTGCTGACTTCAAGTGCTGGAGATGGTTTCTACACCACAAGTTTCTCCTACATCATTAAGTCTGGTACTTCACTAAATCAAATTAACGTAAAAGATAAATTTCCAAGTTATCACCATCGTACTAATGTAAAAGAGGAAAGATTCCCATCTCACAGAAAAAACAAACTATACATTTTATTTCAATTTGCTTGTCTCTCCCAGACTAGGCCCAGTCCATGTTACAGCCGAAATAATGTCACAAGGAATAACTGAACTGTTAAAATGATAAACTGTTCAGTAATTGTTACACATCTGAAATGGGATAGTCGTAATGCTCCTGATGCTGAGAAAAAGAAAACAAAAAAAGAAACTAGTACCCAAAAGAAGTGGGGAGAAAAAAATTTTAGGAAACAGGGAAGATTCCGTTTTCTTATCAATTTCCTGAAAATCATTATTTGATGTCATTTTTGATCATCTTTGTTGTTTGTTATTCAATCATTTCAATTGTGTCTGACTCTCTGTGACCCCATTTGGAATTTTCTTGGCAAAGATACTGGAGTGGTTTGCCATTTCCTTCTCCAGCTCATCATACAGATAAGGAAACTGAGTCAAATAAGGTTAAGTGACTTGCTCAGGGTCACACAGCTAGGAAGTGTCTGAGGCCACATTTGAACTCAAGTCTTCCTGACTCCAGGCCTAGCACTCTATGTGTTGTGCCACCTAGATGCTCCTTAATCATCTTTAGGACTGAAAATATGAAGAAGTGTACTTGTCAACTCAGTGGACCTCAGTTTCCTCATTTGTAAAACTGGAGGACTGAGCAAGATCTCTAAGTCCCTCCCATCTTTAAGTCACAGGACTTAATGATACAGCAAACTTCTAGATAAATGATATCTGAACAGAATGGTAAAACAAGTAGGCTACCATGAGGACTACTTGAGAGAAGGGAGTCAAGAACTCCCTTTTACTAATCTTTGATCCAGAGTAATGGTCACTTTTTAAATTACTAAAGTAAATGAGATTAAGATCCAAATGTTCTTCAAGGGCATAATTTTTGGGAAAAGACAATGCTGAAGCTCAAATATAACAAAGTAACAGTCACTTTCCTTTCTAAATATGGGCCAAAAATTACTGCCATCTGCCTAGGGTTCTGATGCAAGTTGCATTCTACCTAAAAGGAGATTAAAATGTTTACAGCAACAACATAAAAGTTTTTGTTTTTATTTTCATTAAGGTTTTCCCCCAGCAGTAAAGTATATGAAAAATATTAAAAGAAGGAAGAAAAGGATTTTAGAAACAATAATTAAAACTGTATTATGGAGCTGCTATATATGGAATCTAGTCCACATGATGCGGTTTGAGGGGTTCAAGGACCTCTCAAGGACCTAGGTACAGAACAGGGTCATCTGGAATGAATTCGTAGACTCAAGCAGTCTTCCAGGCAGGGGGCAAAAAGTTTACTGTAACTCTAATATAGTGGGGCAGGGCTCCTTAAGGGATTCTGCTACGGTGGGTAGAGCTCCTTATGGAACTTGCCAAGGTGGGCAGAGCTCCCTAGGGAACTTGTAACCTAACAAGAATGATGCTAAAGCTTATACAGGAAAAGTAGTGAATTATGTGCCAAGTATGCTAATTAGGTGATAACATACAACCTTAGTCACAGGTGTTATTTACTACTAGAAACCAAGGAGGGGAGTTGCTAAGGGGTATATTTTTGGTCTATCATGTCTGTTAACAAGAAAGTTTTGGGAGGTGATGTCTATAACTTGACCTCTGGATCATATATGATACCAGTGGGAATCAGTACATGATAATTTTGTTGATACAAGATAGTACAAGGGAAATTCTACAGAGGTCAGCTTGTCCTTGTAACAGAAAGAGATAGTTTGCCTCACTGGACCCATTCCTGAGTTACTGCCAGAGACAGGGTCTTTGAGCTGAAGAGAAAATCGTCAGGGATAGGGCTTCAGGATGGAGGTAAGCTTGTCCAAACTGATGCAAATGGAAACCTAGTGAGGCGTTATTGTGCTCTCGGAATTACTCCAGGGGTGTATGTGACCTTGAGCTGCTGTGTACATTAGCAGGGGGCTGATGTAACCCTAGGGACAAGGCCTTCCCTCCCACTGCCCAACTGATGGTCTCCCATCTCCTTTTCCCTCAAGAAAGGCTAGGAAGAAATATGATCTTAGAAGTGAAGTCTGAGTACAAGCACCCAAATACCCCATCACACATATAAAACAATTTTCTGAAATCAAAAATGAAAAGAAAAAGGCTGCAGGGACAGAAGAGAAACTATAAGAATGAGAAGAAGCTGTTTGTGGAAAAATAAAATTGGACAACTTAGATGTCATCAATGTATATTTACCTCCACCATTTGTTACCACTGTGCTGCCTCGGTTTTCTTGGTACTGGCTTTCTCTTCGCAGTCTCTGCTCTTTAGTAATCTCTGCTACTCGCAAAGGTAAATCTGAAAATTCATCTGTAGGCTTTATAAAATATTAAACACAACAAAGAAATATTATTTCTAACTTCAGTCAATATAAACATACGAAGCATGGATTAATATCTAAATGTGAATTGAAAATTTTATACATAATAGTCAAATATGAACAAACAGAGCCAATGTCCAAGTCAGGTATGTGCTGTGTTACAAAAGTTCATAAAGTCATTTGTCAGCAACTCAGAAACATTTTTTATAGAAAGAGCATAATAAATGGTAGTTGAATAAAACTTAAAAAAGCTGAAACCCAATAAACTTACCTTGAAAAATAGAAATCAATACTATTACAATATGGTCACTAAACAAAACAGAAAAAATAAAGTTGAAAAAATTTATAGAAATTTATCTATAATGTTGGTTCTTGGAGAAAAATGGTTATAAGGTTGATTCCTTTTTCAATCTCATCAGTTGGAAACAGATACTCATTTGGTTGTACTTTACTTTCCTCTCCCTAAATAGTTAACTATCACCTAGAAACTTCACTAAACCACCTTGCCCAACTAATTTCAGAAAATAGTTGTGTTCTAACTATCAGTCTCCTATAGTGGTGTCAAATTCAAATAGAAATGTATTCCTGCAGAAAATCATAAATTATCTAAGTTGTACTGTATTCTATTTTCTTAAACATTTCCCAATTACATTTTAATCTAGTTCACAGTATGCCACATATGCACCAGGTATGACATCCCTGTCCTACACCATCTACAATGCTTTCCCCTTGATTATCTCAGAAAAGAGTTAAGAACACCTTTTCTTCAACAGTTCCTGAGATTGTTTCTGGGCACTGTCTTACTCAACTCTTTCCTTTTTGTTCTGAGGAACCAGAAATGAGAACAAGTGAAGCCTGAATTAGTAGGTAGTCTAGATTACAGAGTTTTGTTGGGAGGTTGCCAATTTGCTCTGCCAGCGGTAGACAAAAGTAAACAGTAATGGAAGGAAGACTCAAGGAAGGAGTATGACTATAGCAGGAAAAGAAAAATAGGAAAGGAAGACAGAGGGATCAAATTAAATTGCCTTCTATATATAAGGCATTGTACTCTATCTTTGTACTTCCCTCAAATTTAATGCTTTGCACACAGTACTCGCTAAATAAATAAATAATTGCTAAATTGTTGAACTGATTTGAAAGCTGAGACACCCTATTCCTATTTCTAAAAGGCAGCAATAAAGTTTCTCCCTGAAAGGGTCCTATCCCCAGAAACCTTAAATGTTTTGGCAACAAGAACCCAAAGAATAACATAAGCCTCAAAGACTCTGGCCCACATTAGCTGTTGAGGCAAGCAAACCACATTACAAGTTAATCCAATTACAGGCAGGTATATGGCTTAGTGGACAGAATACTGGGCATGGCTTGAGGAAAACTGGAGTCCAAATTTGGCTTCATATACTTCACTAACTTAACCTCTGTCTGCCCCAAGTTATCTAACTGTAAAATGGGGCAAATAATACCACCTACCTTCCAGGACTGTTCTGAGGATCAAAGGAGGCAATATTTGCAAAGCACTTAGCACAGTGTCTGGAATATGGTAGGCTCTTTTCTTTCCTTATGCAATTCATTGACTAGTGAATTCTGGTATATCTACCCAATGCTCATTGTCATTAATTGCGTTAGAATTAATGATACAGCAAAAAGGTAACAGGCACTTAATCTGTATTTTATAGAGTTTTCCCCCCCATACATAAAAGAGTTAAAATTGGGTTCTGATTATTTTGAGGATTGCCATACGTACTAAGTTAATTCAAATTAGGTTATCTATACAAATACTCCTGAATATTAACTGGCCCACCATGCTAATTAAAGAAAAAAAATAGCTATATGCTGAAAAAAGACATAAAATTACCATGCTAAAATACAGTGATTTTAAAAAAATCTTTCAACATAAATAGAGATATATGTAGCTCTAAAAGTTTTACTGACAACTTTTTTTTTTGACACTGTGGTCACTTCCCAATATGCTTTCCACTGACCCTTCCCTTATGACCGAAAAAAAGATAAGCAAAACCAACCAAAAGAGCAACCTTACTTTGTAATGTAATATTCTGCACAAATATATCCTCACCACTATATGAAAAGCAGTGAAATATGTTTCACCATTAGTCATATTTAATGAGGTAATGCCTTTTAGTATCTTCATGCACATTACCCTAATTATTGTATATAAAGTTCTAGTTCTGCTTTCTTTATTTGGTATCAGTTCACTTACAAATCTCATATTATAAAGATATTTGATGCTTGATTTATTTTTATTATGACTGTTCTTTTTTATCATTTTAACTGTCATTCTTTTATAATTCAATTATAGAACACACTTTTGTTTTACATTAAGCATGACTGGGGGTTTGGGGAAGTGTGGTCTATATTCAGACCATCATGTATTTTTTTCATCTGTATATATATCTGTGTCTTTATAACAGCTATGTACAAGTACTTCCACACAGCATGGTAAAAATAAATTTTAGTTCTATTAATTAGAAAACATTTCATTTTTTGTCCTTATTCTCCCATCTCTGAATATTTAAAAATTACTTACTTCATTCCCTGACCACCTCTTATCACCACTGTCCACACTATTAAAACCAGAATCGAGGGCTCCATATGGACGACTTGAGTACAATTCTTCAGGGCTGAAAAGAAACAAATTTCAATTAATCTATATTGTTCAGCAAAGTCAAAAGTGGTACTTCTTTTTAAAATGAAATGATAGCATCAACAAATAGCAGTATTCACTGAATACAGTGGCTTGTACAGAATAAATGCACAATTGAATAAGCATTCATTTTGACCTTCTGATTCTCAGAATCCCAATTTTCCCTCAAAACTTTGCTCAAGTGTCATGTTCTACATGAGGCCTTTTCTGATGCCTCCAGCTACATGCGTCTTCTCTCTCATAAATTTACATTGTTATTTCTTTTATTTAAAAGAATTAATTCTTATAGTAACAAAATATTAGCATTTCCATGTACAAAGTAGAACATAAAAAGATGACCGCAAACGAAAATATAAATCTCCATTCCATGCCATTGGCTTTTTTATAAGTATAAAATAAATACAACATGTGCAATTTTTTAAATATTTTTTTCCAATTACATTAAACATTCATTTAAAAAAAATTGAGTTTCAAATTCTCTCTCTCTCTTCCTTTTCCCTCTTCCTGAGACAGAATGCAATATAAGTTACACATGTGTAATCATGCAAAACATTTCCATATTAGTCATGTTGTGAAAGAAAACACAGATCCCCTCCCCCCCAAAAAAAACCTATGGAAAAAAAAAAGTGAAAAATAGTATGCTTTGATCTGCATTCAGACTCTATCAGTTCTTGCCCTGGAGGTGGATAGCATTTTCTATCATACGTCCTTCAGAATTGTCTTGGATCACTGTACTGCTGAGAATAGCTAAATCATTCAATGGTTGATCATTGTTACAATACTGCTGTTAAAGTGTTCTCCTGGTTCTGTTCACTTCACCTGGATCAGTTCATGTAAATGTTTCCAGGTTTTTCTGAAAGCATCCTTACCATCATTTCTTATAGCACAATAGTATTCCATTACATTTACATACCACAACTTATATAGCCATTCCCCAACTGATGGACATAGCTCAATTTCTAGTTCTTTGCCACCACAAAAAGAGATGCTATAAAAATTTTTGTACATATAGGTTGTTTTCCTTTTTTTTTTTTTTAAATCTCTGGGATACAGATCTAGTAATGGTATTGCTGGGTCAAAGAGTATGCACACAAACTAAGCCAATGCAACTAAGATTAGAAGGAAGGTAGAAAATTGGGAAAGAATTTTTATAATCAGTCTCTCTGATAAAGGCCTCATTTCTAAACTATATGGAGAATTAAGACAAATTTATAAGAACACAAGCCATTCCCCAATTGATAAATGGTCAAAGGATATGAACAGACAGTTCTCAGATGAAGAAATTAAAGCCATCTATAGTCATATGAAAAAATTCTCTAAATCATTATTGATTAGAGAAATGCAAATTAAAACAACTCTGAGGTACCACATCACGCCTATCAGATTGGCCAACATAACAAAACAGGAAAATGATAAATGTTGGAGAAGATGTGGGAAAATTGGAACACTTAATACATTGTTGGTGGAGTTGTGAAATGATCCAACCATTTTGGAGAACAATTTGGAACTATGCCCAAAGGGCTACAAAAATGTGCATACCCTTTGATCCAGCAATAGCACTTCTAGGGCTATATCCCAAAGAGATCAAACAAATGGGAAAAGGACCCACATGCACAAAAATACTCATAGCATCTCTTTTTATGGTGGCAAAGAATTGGAAATTGAGAGGATGCCCATCAACTGGAGAATGGCTGAGCAAGTTGTGGTATATGAATGTAATGGAATACTATTATGCTATAAGAAATGATGAACAGGCTGCCTTCAGAAAAGCCTGGAAAGATTTATATGGTCTGATACTGAGTGAAGTGAGCAGAACCAAGAGGACTTTGTACACAATAACAGCCACATTATACAATGACTAAGATTGTTAAACTGAACCCTTCTCAGCATTTCAAGTATCTAAGACACTTCTAGAGGCCTCGGGATGGAAAATGCTGTCCACATCCAAAGAAAGAACTATGGAAGGTGAATCGTTATCACTTATTTTTGCCTTCTGTTGAGTTTTGTTTCATCTTTCTGATGGTTCCTTCTATTGGTTTTAATTTTTACTTACAACTTCACTAATGTGAAAATATGTTTAATAGGAACGTAAATGTAAAGCCTATATCAGATTGTGCGCTGTCTTGGGGAGGGTGGGGGGGAGGAAGGAGGAGAAAAATTTTCAACTCAGAAGCATATGGAAGTGATTATTAATAAATCAAAATAAAAATCAAATTTAAAAAAAACCCAAAAAACAAAGAGTACGCACAGTTTTATGGCCCTTTGGGCATAGTTCCAAATTGCTCTCCAGAATGGTTGGCTCAGTTTCACAATTCTACCAACAATGCACTAATGTCCTATTTTTCCCACATTCCCTCCAATATTTGTCATTTTCCTTTTCTGTCATGTTAGTCAATCTGATAGGCATGAGGTTTACCTGAGAGTTGTTTCAATGCATTTTTCTAATCAATAGTGACTTGGAGTATTTTTTTTAAACGTGACTATAGGTAGCTTTGATTTTTTTTGTTGCAACATGCTTTGCTCAAAGCTATTCTGCTTCTCTTCCTTCTGTTCTAGTCTGTGAATAAAAAAAAATGCTCCAATGCCTTTTTTTTTTTTTTTGCTTTCTTTCTGGCATCATTCCCCAACAAATCCTGTGCCACTCCAATTAAAAGGGTGGGAAGGGAGAAATTCTTGTAACAAATAAGCACTGAGAATTGAAAAAAAATCCACACAGTGACAATGTGCGAAAATATATTTTTCTTTCTGCACCACGACTCTATCACCTCTTTAAGAAAGTGATTAATATGCTTTATCACTGAAGTATTATGGAGATCTCTCTATGACTGGTCATTAAACTCTGCTTAAGTCCTTCCAAATTGTTTTCCTTTACAATGTTATCACTATATAAATTATTCACCTAGTTCTATTTTACTCTGTATCATCAGTTCATACAAATCTTCTTCCCAAGATTCTCCAAAATTGTCTCTTTCAGTACTTATGGTACAATAATACTCCATTACATTCACATACCACGGTTTGACTTAAGCCATTTACCAAGTGATGGGCATTCAGTTTCTACTTCTTTTCCTTACAATTCCTCCTTCAGGATTAGTAGATTTGTTTAGCTTGAAACTATTTCCTCTCTGGTATTAATCTCCTTCCTAATCACAGACTGTCCTTTTTTCTATGTAGGTGTTTTCCTTTTATCCTCCTGTCTCTTTCTCCTCTTAAACACCCCTGAATAGGTTTAATCCATTTCTAGAGTCTGTTTTTCTTATTTAACTTTCTAAGGCTCTGAAGGGATACTTGTTTCTTCTTCCTCGTTAGAATGTTGGCACTTTATTCTTATATAGCCCTTTCCAATTGCTCAAAAAAATTTACCTTTCTAGGTTTTGCCTGACTCTTGTGTTTTCATTTTGGAGTTACTATTCAACTCTGGTCTTTTCACAAGGAATTCTTGAAGGTCCTCTATTCCATTAAAAATGAACATTTTTCACTCCAGGATTACACTCAGGTTTGCAAGATAAATTTTTCTTGATCGTAAGCCCATGTCTTTTGACTTTTGAACCATTATATTTCAAGATCTCCTGTCATTTATAGTAGAAATGGCCAGGTCTTACATGATCTTGAATGTGGTATTTGAACCCTTTCTTTCTGGCTGCTTAGAGTATTTTTTCCTTTGGCCTGGATAGAAGCTCTCGATTATGGCTATGACATTCCTAGAATTTTTTCCTTTTGATATTCTCTTCAGGAGATGAATCATGATATTTTTCTATTTTACTTTGCCCTATGGTTTTAATAGAAACAGGCAATTTTTAATAATCATTTCTTGAAACACGATGTTCAATTTTTTTTTAAAATTATGGTTTTGAAGGAGTCCAATAATTCCTAAATTATTTCTCCTTGATCTGTTTTTCAGGTAAGTTCTTTTTGGTAGCAGAAACATTACAATTTTTTTTCTTTTTTCAATATTTTGATTTTATTCTAATATTTCTTGTTGTCTCATGACCCAATGATTTTTTACTTTGTTGCTACCACTTTCTCTTCTAAGCTATTTATTCCCTATCCAATTCTTCCCTCCAGGGCTTTTATTTCATTTTTTAAAATCTCTTGCTTCATTTCTTTTAGGTATTCATGTAGTTCAAGTGGAAAATCCATTTTCCCCGCTTAGAGTCTGTGTAAAAAGCTGATGTATAATTACTCTTTTCTTCTAGGTTGGATTTTTGGGAATCTCTGCATCCACTATAATTTTTTATAGTAGCCTATGTTTTCTTCTTATATCTTCAGCCTTACTTCCTGAATTGAGGCTTTGTATTTGGGCCAGGCTCTACCTCATTATGTATTTTTTGAAGTGGAATTGGGCAGTCAGTCTGGTTTTCAGGGTCACCTGCATTACTTGCTGACCTCCACCTCCCAGGGTGAGTGCCAGTATACTTCAGGGTCTCCTGGATCTTCAGAACTTCAGATTACTATATATATACAAGGTTCTCTAGCATCAGGAAAAACAGCTAGGGACTTCAGAATCCCTGCCTCTGCAGATCATGGTCAAGAGCACTGCTATGCCTGGGCTGGTTGCTGTAGCTCATTGTCACTTCCAAAGCCCATGCTGTGAATTTACTATCAGGGGTGAGCTGGTAAATGTTTAACAATTGGCTCTCAAAAAAAAATGTACTCATGACACACTTTTTAGTTTAATCTGCATTATTAACATTTTCTCCATTACTTATGTCTGGACAATCAACAATCACAAGTCACTTAAGCCCTGATTTGTAGTATTGATTTCCAAGGTGTAAATGCTCACACTGAAAATTTAACTATGAGCTCTTGGTACGAATCAGCTCCAGTACACTACTGTTTGCAACCATCTTTGGTGCTTTTTTTTTTTGTGGGAGCTCCCTACTCCTATGTAGCAGCTAAGTTCAAGTCATATTGGAAAATTTCTGTCTTATTTGCCTGTACTGCCATTGCCTTTTCTAGCATGCACCCTTTACTACT